AAATATTTTCTAGCTGATCCCAAGCTGATCTTGATTTTCCCATCTGATCAGCTAATGTTGAATACACCCGAAAGCAATTGAGTGAAGATCTTCTGTTTTCTCTTGGAAAAACCATTCTTTGTTATGGCTTATTTGCATGTCCAAAGAATCAATGGAGTAACTTGAACCTTCGTGGAAGCTGGAAAACGACCCATCTTCTTCCTTAAGAAGCGAATTCTGGCAGTGTTGATTTCCCATGAAGTTGAAATTCATGGGCTCATTCATATTGTTGGTGCTTGAATTTTTATCAAATTGGGGTATATTTATGCACGATGATTGTTCTGATTGTTGTAACCAATTAGTCTGGATGTCTTGTGGAGTTGTGTAAGAAGGATGTCCTCCGTTAGGTCGATTGTCGTTGGTAGGATAGTTTGAACAACTGGAGCCATTGACTAAGGTTTGAGCTGCCTGCTCTTTTAAAAAAGCTAGTTGGGATTGTAAACTAACCACCTGTTAAACAAAAGCAACAATAATTAATCAGAACGAAATCTAGCTACACACTATATAGCAAAGAATATTAGGGTATGTCATGATTTCGATATATTTAAAAGCAGATTGTATACCTGTTGTTGTAGCGCGAAGATATGTGAAACGCAGCCATAAATGGGATCTTGAACCCTAGCTTGAGCTTCATAGGCGATGGTAATGGCTGCTTCACATCGTCCACTGACAGGAAGGTGAGCAAGGAGTTTAGAGACATTGCTGGCACCAAATACCCTGTGAATGGCTGCAAAATGGGCAGCACCTTGTTCATGGCAAAAATAAGGGGCAAAAACACAACCCCTTACGCATTTCCTTCTTAAGAACTTGCAAGCACCACAAGGAGAGCCTGATCCTGTCATCTTAATCTGATGTTTTCGATTTTATTCTCAAGATAACTTGGTTTTTAAAGTTTTTTGACGATGAGATAATTATAATTGGGTTTGTTCTGATCTTGATGCAAGCATTATCACCATGTTTATAAACACAAGAGGGTGAGGGGGTGGATCATATTGTAATGAATATTTTAACCACAAACGGTTCCCTTAATGGCCTACAGTTTGTATTATTTTATTTCCATGAAAAAAAACAAATTTTTTTTTTGAACTCCACCCCAAACCCAACCCCACTCTCCCTTCTGTTTTCCTTAATTTTAATTCTTTTTGTAGAACAGCCTTAGTTTTAATTCTAAATACTCCTTTCCCTATAAGATTCCATTTCAACCCCTAAAGAACAAAAGAGCTACAACAAAGGTGCTCTCCCTTAAATGTTTGAAGATAAATGGATATTTTCTCAGATAACCATGCTAAATAATCTCCTGTTACATACATACATACATACATACTTTTTCTAGAACTTCCACCCACACACACTCTAATCTACTCTTGTTACTCATACTTCCACCTATGTCCCAGACGAGGACCCTCAACTTCTTAATCTTTAGAGGGAGTCATCTCACCATACCGCTAAGCCAAATTAAAGGCCTATTAGTACATACATACATATATACATACATACATACATACATACATATATACATACATACATGGGAAAGAATCCTAGAGGCATCCACTTTTTGGTCATTGTTGGTATTTTGTATCAAGTGAGTGTTTTTACAAGTTTATCCAATGATATATATTAACTGGTTTGATGATTCTTCATATATAGAACCTAACACGTTCTCATACTTGAACTAGTTGTTGATCTTGAAATGCACATATATATGAGCTACGCGCGTGTACACCAGAACTAAGAGCTTACCTATATTTCATTCAGTGTGATCAAGGGAAATGGAGGTTTTGTCTTAGAAAACAAATTAAGGAAAACAACCCGTAAGATGCATGTATCTAAACTAAAAGGTAAATGGAAATGGAAAAAATTGAGCAGGATTTATCCTGTAGTGGAACTAGGAATGTGATTCATCATTTAGTACATATATAGGTGCCTAAAGTTAACCTTTTGCGTTCTCATTTCACAGCCCAAACTTCTGATTATCAATCCAATTAGAGTTCCAAATTTACCAGAAACTGTAATATTTGTAAATTTTATACCTAACATGAATCATAATTAATTAATGGGGATATGAAAAGGTCATACCTTTTGATCTCATCGATCTAGTACCCTACACAAGCTGCTTTATGTGTATGGAAAAATACTATTAAAGTTTTAACAAATGTCAAAGAAAATGGACCCTTTGGACCAAACAACTTGATCGACTATTGTGAATGATTAGCTAGGTTCGTGTCTCACCCATTTTGCTGGTCAATTAATAACGTAATAAGAGCATTCACAATGAATGGTTCAATGAGATATTTCATTGAGGTGGCAAGCCTTAGTTGCCATTCAATAGATCAAACGAAAATATTATGGGATGCCACTTTTACATTCAATAGAAAGTTCTCTAATTCTTATATAAATGTTTAAGATATCTTCCATTAAACTTGGTAGAGTTTAATGCATTGTAAAAAAACTAAGTTGTATGAAACATAAAATTATAAAATTACAATCCATTAAACTCAATTGAGTTCAATATATTATGGATGCACTAACAAACACCCGTTGTGTTTGCTACGGTCATAGTCCAGAAGTTATAAATTGAACATGTAGGATCCACTACATTTTACGTAATCTTTAATTTTGTATTCACTGAATACGTCATGAACATGATCAAAGATGTAGAATTCAATAATTATCAAGTACTAGGTTAGCAGGTGCTCAGTTCAATCAATACATTAGAGATTGCCTTTGTACTCATATGCACAGGTATGTATTATGTGTGTATATTTATATGTTTATTATATTTATAGACTGATCAGGTATGTGAAAAGAATAAAAAAAAATATAGGGATCTGTGTTAATCTTGTCTAGACATAAGCTGTTCACTTCTGTCGTATCCAGACGAATACCAAAAAAATTAATTATGCACCAAAAAGAACATATTCCATGGCTAAAAGAAACGACAGATAGTGCCACACACCAGAATAGAACACCAGACACCTGACTCAAGGAAGCATGTCGAGAGAGAGAGAGAGAGAGGTACTCCAGTGGATCCAAATCAAAGAGATTGAATTGTTTAAGTGGTTCAGGTGACCTCTTGTCGAGCATTATTGTACGATCTCGTATTAACAAATCTTGATTAGTTTGTCATTAATCAAATTTATTCACTTTTCTCTGTCACCCATGGTAGATCGATGGACCACTCTGATACTATCGCTCCAAGGTAGAATAGTTTTTACATTACAAGCGAGTTGAGCAAAAACGCGCGTTTAGCCTGGGTCACTGAAAATACTTCTGATTGAAAACCTTCCATTCACGTTACGGAGAGGTTTTAATATAGTTTCAGGATAATTAATTAATCAACCTACTCTAATCGAGTTGTGTAAAATGGTTAATCATGAGGATACCAGAAATGGGGTTCCAATCAGAATCTGATTTTTTTTTCTTTTAAATAATTATATAGCAGATGACCGGTGTGTAGCTGATCAATTGGTGTGTCCCAATTTTCATCCCTCTTTTTTAATCGATTGCCCGGTGTGTAGCTCAATCCTAATCTCGTGAAACTCTCCTTTCAAATAAATTTTCAAAATTGAAATTAAAATAAACTCCCCATGAATCTTGGATCATATCAAATCTCTTGACTTCCAAAACACAATCCTCTATTTTAAAAATCACTTAATATCTCTTTATTTTTCAAATTAAACTTTGCCAAAAAATTAATCAGTGTGTTGGGATTATATTTTCATTCTTACCTCAAGCCCAAGCCATCAATTTACTCAATTTCATTCTTACCTCAAGCCCAAGCCAAGTTTTTTGTGCTTCTTATAACCTGCTCATGATATTTTTTAGCTTGTCATAGTTGCAATCCCACTTGTGTAGTTAATTGAACTTTTCAAAAATGCTTGTGAAGTAGCGATAGATTTGCACACATGGACGAATCGTGAAAATTTGTCTGATTTTTATCATTACTTGAACCGTTAAGTTTTTAGTTTCTTCTCTTTGATGCATGATTTTGTGTCGTTTATAATCTTTTCTGTTGTCTTACTTATAAAAAACTAAATCCTGATCTACTATAGTAAATGAAGATCAATTTACCACATGTTAATTTCTCATAAGGTTTGACACTTGTCATTTGTGATATTTTTAAAATAAAATAATATCTACATGTTAATTTCTTGATATTTTTCAATTTTTAAAATTAAAGTCATATAATACATATACTTATATATGTAAAGTATTAAATGTAATAAATGTGATAATAAATTGCAATTAATATGTTTTTCATTCTTTATTTCAAAATTTTATTTTAAAAAATATTTATTATTTACATTTTGATATTTAATCTTTTTTAATCAACCCGTGCATTACACGGGTCTTACATTACATCTAGTGATATAATAAGTAAAGAAAATAGTAACAACCATGAATGTGAGAACCCCAATATAGAGTTATATGAG